TGTGTGCGCGCACACACACACCCACACACACACACACACACACACACACACACACACACACACACACACACACACACACACACACACAGACAAATCCCACAAAGCTTAGTAGTGCATGTCATGTGGGTTTGCTGAAAGATGAGCTGGCAATTGAAAATGACAAAGAGACTTTGACTATCATCACTGAACAATGAAGAATAACGGTGTGCAAAAGGCTGCACTACATGGAATTGTGGAATCATATCAATGTTAGACACATAAAAATAGATCCCTCCTTAAGGCGGATGCGGTCGGAAAAAATAAGTAGTACAGCTGCTGCAATGATCTTCATTCGTTGTACACAATTGTTGATACATGGACATTTAAGCGTTAACTGTTCAGCCCACAGAAACTCTACTGCTTACCAAAACAGCAGCGCCTACCATGAAAGGCTAACTTGCTAATGCTATCATCGTCACAAATTACTGTTGAAACTCAACATAAATGTAGTTTGTGAAGTGTCGGATTAAAATGAATTGTTAATTAACTGTTTAAATTTACTCATTTACTACGGAACCATCCTCTGACCGAAGAGAGCAATTCAGTCACACATGCTTGACTAAGCCGAAAACAAAAGCTGATCCTTGAGGCTAACTATTTTTACTTGTCCTATTTTAACTTTCCCTCATTACTTTCCCTACTTTCTCCCCCCCACTTCCCATCTGTGTCTTGCGACTTACTTCCATGCATCCGCCATGGCTGACAGCGTTGGCTGGAATGTGGCCCAACATTCAGTTTTTAAAATAGCCGGCAAGCCTAAGAATCTGCGCTCCTAATAAGGCAGAGGGCAGCGGCTCTGCCACCCCCCCCAAATATCAGCACCCAGCTCAGTGAGAATAAAGGCTTTTGCTCGCCTTCACGTAGTGTTGGCCAAGTGTTGAGAACCAAAGCAAACGAGATAGAGCCCACGCAGCGCTGTACCCCAGTCAAGATAATATGAAACCATGTTTTGTGTCTCCTACTAGTGCAGGTTGCAGTTTTAGTTTCTTCATGTTGTCCTGTGACTGACGTGATTCTGTTCGGGATTGGAGTATTAAATGTACACAGAGGTCAAAATATCAGTGTCAATGATTCCTTGAACAATGCAAGCATCCTTAGATCTCACACATTAACTGGTGGTGCTACGTCTAATGACTGATCTGTAGACTGACCAACATTTGTAGATTGGATTCATCCTCGATACGTGGATCGATTCATCCTGGGGTCATCCATCATAGTAACGCTTAAATTTGTGTTTCTTTAGGATCCTGGTGGGGGCGCCACAGGCTGCCGGCCAGGGTTTATTGCGCGGTAGTCGACCGGGTGCTTTGTTCAAGTGTCCTATCACGCCTGAGGAATATGACTGTGAGAGGGTGGACATTGATGGCGAAGGTAAGTTCTGATTCATTTTAAAGTGTGCGCATAATTCCATTGAGTCACATCTGATAGAGTGAAACTGTATCAAAGTAACAAATAACATTCCTGGTTCCATTAACCTAAAGGGGCGTGTTTTAGAAATTTGAGGCGTATGGGCCACCTTGCCACAAGGACCAGATCCAAGACTTATTTTTTCCGTTCTTCTCCTTCAGTGAGTCTAAATAAAGAGAACAAAGACAACCAGTGGCTGGGAGTGACTGTCAAGAGCCAAGGCATTGGAGGGAAGGTGGTGGTAAGTAAGGCCGTGTCAGGATCTCTTGATTTTAAAAAAACATGTTCTGTCATAGCACAATGGTTGGTTACTATCTCTATGCAGACCTGCGCTCACTTGTACGAGCTCAGGCAGCGCGTGCACCAACCCTCCGAGACGCGCGATCCCATTGGACGCTGCTACGTCCTGAGTGAAGACCTGACGGAGCGAGACGACCTGGACGGAGGAGAATGGAAGTTCTGTGAGGGTCGGCCGCAGGGTCACGAGCAGTTTGGCTTCTGTCAGCAGGGTCTTTCCGTCAGTTTCACCCCAGACAACAACTTCATCTTGTTTGGGGCCCCGGGCACGTACAACTGGAAAGGTACGGTGGCCTGTTGCGATGAAGATGCCGCTATGAAAGAGTTGAACTCGAGCCTTTGCAGACTCTTTCTCCTTGTTTAGTCGGTAAATGTACATGAGAAAAAAACAGAAAACGGTCAAGATGGTAAACTGACAACTTGTTTCTAAATTTTCAGTGCTGTCGATAAATGTTGATGAAAATTAGTCATGCGGATGACAAACCATCTGCCAATTGCAAAGAGGAAATGTCTGAAGTCTCCCATCAAACCAAAGTTCTTGCAGTGGTAAATATAAAATGGTTGGGTCTTCTTGACCCACAAAATGTCAACTGGAAAGTAAACTTGTCCTCAGTCTTCCATCAACGGAGTGTTCTCGCAATTTTAGCATTATGTGCATTCACTTTGCGCAGGTAAGGAAAAAGTCTCAGGGCACATCTCTGAGGTCTTCTCCATGTCCCTGATTTCTTTTTCTATCTCACACCATCTGTAAATGATTTTCCTCACAGCTAAGAAGTGATCTCATATAGTTTGATTGTGACGAGGGTCTTCAGAATCAGATCCATCCAGCCATCCTTTTTCTACTACCGGTACTTATCATATTCAGGGTTACGAGGTGAGCAGGAGCCGATTCCAACGCACTTATGATGACAGACACCCGATACGCTACTTTCATCTAGTCGTAACTTTGATTGAACTGTTGCAAGATCACCCCAGAATTTCTGACTGGAAATCCATCTGGCTATACGGCCAGTTGCCAGATAGCCATCATTTTTTGTACGCCCCATTCTATACGCGACTAACACACAGTGTATGCTCAGCTTTCCACTATTTACCAGAATCACATGATAAAAAATAAATTGACTGATGATACGATCTTACAATTGGACCCAGAGCAGCAGCACAAGGGACGAATACTGCAGAATAGTACAAGTCAAAGTATGTTGCATTTCGTGCTCGTCTGAGGTTGTCTGAAGTGTTGTCGTCAAGATGGTTATCCCACCAGTGTGTTGGGAGGGTACAAATGTTTCTTATGGCTATGTTGTGGCCTCACACGTTTCCATTTCAGGTGAAATGCGCGTGCAGCTGCTTAATCAGACGCTGCTCGACCTTGGTTTCTATGATGACGGACCCTACGAGGTGGCGGATCAGAAACAGCTTAATGCCCGGCTCATCCCTGTGCCCTACCACAGTTACCTGGGTAGGAGTCGCCCTCCCTGCTCACTGCTGGAGCGGAAGCGAGGGTCTGGCGGAGGACGGCGACCAGGGCTCAGACTGTACCCCCCAGCTCTCAGATATAGCCCCAGGCTGCAACTCGAGCAGTGACTCCATCTATTCCTGCATGGCCAGAAACCTTGAGATTTTCAACTCATTCATAGCTGGGATTTGGTGTCTGGAGTTTCTGGACCGGAAATTATATTTGGTTCCAAATGATCCGATGACGGCCTTGAGACGTCAGGGTACACTCTGAACCCAGAGGGCTGTCACTCGAGCCGGGGAGGTTTCTGCAAGAGAAAACTGCTGCCACCCACCCACCAAAACACAGCATCAATCGATCACGGCTTGTCTCACCTGCACCCTCCTCTCCCCCTTTCTTTTTCTCCATCACCCGCCTTACCTCCCTCACATTTCACCACCCTGTCACCCTACCTGCACTGGTCCCTCTACCTCCTTTCCTTTCCTGTCTTGGGCCATAGGGCTCTTGTTCATGGCTAGCCCGGTTGAAGACGCACTGCTGTACAAAACTCTGGAGCCCTCCAAGAAGCCCACAGCCTTTGAGGATGTAACCCATAATAGCTACTTAGGTTTGTAGGTGTGATGTGTTGTTTTTTTGGACCTGATTGGCCTTTTCTGACATAGAAGTAGCCCTAAAATCAATTTTCTTCTTCTTGGTGTTAATCCTCTCTGCAGTCCGGATTTTGATCTGTGTTGGACTTTGTCCCTTTTACTGTTAAGAGACAACCACCCCCCAAAAAATCAAAGTTGTAACTATCCAGCCATTCATTTCTATTCCACTCATCATGTCTGATTCGATCTATCCAGATGAAGTTTCGAAAATGAAGCCCATGCCCTATACTGAAGTCACATGAATGAACCACCACACCAGGGGTGGGCAACACTCTATTCTCGAGGGCGATTCTCCTTCCTGTTTTGGATATTTCCTTCCTCGAACACAACTGATTCAAATGATCAGCTCATCAGTAAGCTCTGCAGAAGCCTAATCATGATCCTGATCATTTGAATCAGGAGGGAACCTTCAACAACATTCGCTGCATTGCACCATCACTCGGTGGTTGTCTCTTGGAGCAACAGTGAGTTTGTCTCTTGTGTCTGTAGGTCTTTGTCATCTCAAGTCTGCGTTTTCCAAATCTGTGTTGGGTTTTTTTGTAGTGTGTTCACTAACAAGGGTTGAGCTATCAGGTGTTTTTTAAGTGCATCACCTTCTTTTGAGGTATTTTTTTGCCTATGTCGTGTTTAAGCTGAATGACCCATTGTTGACTGAACGGGACCTTTTCATCGTTAACGTTGGATTGCGGTGTTCTCTCGTCTCAGTGACTGCGTGGATCTCCCGTAAATCTCTTAATTCACATACCTTCCAGGCCTGTTCATCCTTTCGCCCCACTCCTTATTTTGCCGTTCCCTTGACAACACTAATTCCCATGTGACAGTTTAGCCTTGATTTTTTTTTTTTAATAACTCACATGACCTCCATTGATCCTCACAAGATGAAATGACACAACTGCATGCCTGAGGAACAAAGTCTGTTCTTAGGAGAATTTAGTAAGAAATGTCAATCGTGAAAAATTGAAATAAAATTGGAATGTTTTTTTAACAATTCTGATCGTAAAATGACCAAAACGGAACATGTTTGGAATTTAAAAAATAACATTTTTTCTAAAAAGATATAGTGATACATTTGTAAATTTAACAATTATATGTGCAATTAAATACTATATGCTCAGAAAAACCGCTTGGCTAAAATATCAGAAACAATGTTTTATTTGTATCTTATTTGATTATTATTGCTTACCGTCTCCCAAGTGGATCTAGATTCTATTACCGATAATTTGCGTTTGAACTTGTAACCACTATGTGTGGCCAAAGTGGCCCCTGTGACCCCGCTTTTATGTTTTACACTGCAGACATTCTTCACCTGCTGTCCTTAGAGCTGCTCGCTGTTTGTCCTGGCCTTGTCACCTCCTTTTTTTTTTGTTTTTCTAAACCACATGTTAAGTGTGAGACAGACCGTCCCCACTTTTGTCACTCACACCCCGAGCATGTTGCAACAAATGCATGTGCCTGCTTCTGTTTAGATAGTTTATGATCTGTTTTGTTTTTTGTTGTTGCTTTGACCCAAACACACCACACTTACTCTTTGACACCTGCCACAATCAGTACTTCTACACTGTATACACACACACACACACACACACACACGCACACACACAAAACTAATTGAGTTATTATTGTATTGTCACTGTAGCCCATCCACCATGTGGGTGCGCCACAGTTTTCAAAAGTTGGAGCACCCAGTCATCAAAACAAAGCCCATTATTATGGGGGCAATCCATATGTGTCATTATTCGACCATTAATGTCACAAATGCCCCAGAGAGTACTCGCCTCAGTTTAGGAATCCCTACTCAAGGCTATAAATCTGGTTAATGTCTCGTCACAATGTTTACATGCCTTGACTAAAAGTAAGCGATGCAGACCTCACGAGACATGAGATGAAGCTCCATAGATCACCCCACATACTGGCGGAGCGACGAGCACTAGCAAGCCCCATCTGGGGTTGGGCATAAAATCAATAGTCACTTTAGGCATACATTTCATTAGTCAGAAGATGAGAATAGAGCAGCCCCCCCATGGTCAATACTACTAAAGCCTGAGTCTAACTACCCCCTTTCGCCTCCTTGGCCAGGCTTCTCTGTCGACTCGGCCATGGGAATAATGAGCCTTGGGGAGTTGACCTTTGTGGCGGGTGCACCGCGGGCAAATCACACGGGGGCCGTGGTGCTGCTACGCAAAGACAACGTTTACCGGCTGGTGCCCGAGCACATTTTCTGGGGAGAGGAGCTGGCATCTTCCTTCGGCTACTCCGTGGCGACCACTGATCTCAACAATGATGGGTGAGGAAAGAGGGGACGCGGGTGTCTTGCGTACTTCAATTTCCACCAAATGTGACAGTTCAGTCCAGGAAGGTAAAACTGGGATGTGGAAAACCCTGATGCGAAACAAATACAGGTGACTATCTGAGAACAAAAAAAGCATGACAAAAGTGTCATAGCATGACAATATGACAGTGAGGTTCTACACAAAAGCCTTGAAAAACAAACCCAGAGTGAGATTCAAGTATGGAACCAAACTGAACCAAACTCCTTGATGGAAACTAGGTGATCAATGCTACTCCATAACCGTGTCTTGAAAGGTTATTTAGTAATTGTTCCTCTCCTTAGCTGGACCGACCTGATTGTGGGAGCGCCCAATTTCTTTGACCGTAAGGCAGAGATCGGCGGTGCTGTCTACGTATACCTGAACCCGTTCGGTCACTGGGACGATCAGGCCCGGCCCATCCGTCTCAATGGGACGTATGACTCCATGTTTGGCATGACGGTCAACAACATCGGCGATCTGGACCAGGATGGATATGGAGGTGAGAGTCAAACGTCGTCGGGGTAAACAGAAATGCATTCAGAGTCTTATGTTGAATTTACGCTCTTGTATTTTCAGACAAGCATGAGGTATTTTTTTTTGTTTCGTTTTTTTTATCACAGCAGAAAACATGACGTTACTGCAAATGACCAAGTCTCCTTTTACAACTGAACCAAGAGTTGTATGTGTTTAATAATTTCCTTCTAACTGGCTTGACTTTTTTATTTGCGTCAAGATTCGACACATGCCAGAGTCCTTTTGTGTAACGTTTGTCAAACCTGCGTGAAACATATTAAACCGATTACTCCTACCTAACCTATATAACTGTATGTTCATAACTTTAGAAGTTTTTTTTCTCTATACCTATGAATTTGTTATTGTGAAATTACGACTACTCAAAAAAAGGCAGCTTTATACAGACAAGAGCATTTTGGAGGAGTATGTGGACGTTTTGTTTACTGGTAATTGCTGTTGGATTTCTGAGAGGGTCGTTGGAAAACTGTCCCCCTGCAAAGTTCCCTGAACCCAAAAAGTTTGAGAACCCATCTTTATACGTGAAAAAAAAAATCCCCAGAAAAACAGTGACTTGCATAAAGGGAAGTGCAGACCAAGATATTAGTCAAAGTAAACTAACCAAAAAAACCCAAAAACCAAAAAACTAAACTTAAAAAAAAGAAATAAGATAAAAACAAAAAATTATTTTAAAACAATGCAAACTATCTGAAATGACATGCTATGTTTATAAAACGAACCAAAACTAAATATAATTATAGTGACAATGTCCTTGGCATTCATCTTTGTCAATTAATATCATACACATGCTTTAAAATGTATTTATTTCATTTTTGCTGTACCGTGGTCGCTCATTTATCACGGGGGTTACGTTCCAAAAATAACCTCCTGCTATAAAAAATAAATAAAACCAACTGAACTTAAAAAGCAAAAGTCAAACTGAAAGAAAAAAAACTCGAATGAAAAACTCATAACTGTTGTAACCCTGGTCCAGACATCGCTGTTGGAGCTCCGTTCGACGGGGACGGCAAGGTGTTCATCTATCGAGGCTCGGATGCAGGAATTGAAACCAAACCCGCTCAGGTGAGTTTTTTTTTTTTTTTAAAAGATGTAAAAAAAAAAAAAAAATTAAGGAGTGGAAGTGAACAGGTCATTGTTTATTCCCTGTGACTATTTAGGTGCTGGATGGTCGAGACTTTGAGGTGAGGCGGTTTGGATACTCCATCTCAGGTGGCTTGGATGTGGATGAGAACCACTATCCAGACCTCGCCGTGGGCTCGCTCAATAATTCAGTGGTGCTCTTCAGGTATAAAAAGCGTAATTGGTGAGTCTTCTTTTCACATTCCTCTGATCTTTCCTTTTTGTCCGCAAAGGTCTCACCCAGTCATTCACGTGATTCGGGAAATAGCTATTGACCCACAATACATTGATCTGACCCAGCCTAACTGTAAGGGCCGAGATGGAGTTTGGTAAGAGCATTTCCGAGCAATAATATAACTTTAGATTCTCGTGTGTTTGCTGATCTGTTTGCTCTCCCCTGCCACTCTTCCATTTTAGCATCGAGGTCAAGGCCTGCTTTGTCTACGCAGCCCACCCAGTGCACTACTCACCACATATAAGTGAGTAAAAAAAATCAAGTGCCGAATTGATAATGTGAAATCCTGATACCCTTGCGTGCTTCCTGACATTTCCGCATGTAAATCCTTCCCCATTGCTGCGCACCATGCACCTTCAAGCCCTGGTGATACGCTTTGAAGCCGACTCAGAGCGTAGGAAGCTGGGCCTCCCCCACCGTGTCAGCTTCCTGGGCCAGAGTTCCCTGGAGCCAGAGTACATGCAGACGGAGGAGGTGGATCTGCATCGTCAGAAACACCCGGCATGCACCACCGCTACTTTCCAACTTCATGTCAGTAAGATTTAACTTGAGAACCGGCATGCTGGTTAGCACAACATAACATTTCATAGCGTTATGTGTATGAGTCAATCATCCATCCATTTTCTAATCCATATTTAGTTCCCACTCATTGGGGAAATGAATGGGAGTGTGACTGGTTTTCATTTCAACCTTTATTCAATCAGTCATCGACTGAAGCTAAAGTGACCAGTTACAATGACAGTTGATTTCATAGCATTATGTGTATATCGGCCATTTGAAAAGAGTCAACCATCCATCCGTTTTCTAATCCATGTTCAGTTCCCACTCAGTGACGGTATGAATGGGCGTGTGCATGGTTTTCATTTCAACCTTTATACAGTCACCAATTGAAGCTAAAGTGACCAGTTACAATGACAGTTGATGACACGGATAATCGTCGCAACATTTGCAGTGACCACTAGCGCTGTCATTGTGATTCCGAAACATTTACGAACTCCTCCCTCCATGCAGGAGAACATCAGGGACAAACTGCGGCCGATCTCATTGGCCATCACCCACACCATCAAACCTGTGCCCCCGCGCAGACACTCAGCCAACAGACTGGAGAAACTGGGTCCTGTGCTCAACGTGTCACCTTCCAACACGCTGCACTCGGAGGTCTGTCAGCTTTATTAATTTACTACTACCACTCTACGCAATCAATTTACTATTAAAAGTCATAATTGGAGCAGTACAGGTCTGGGGTGATTTATTTAATTTGCACTTTCACTATCTACTCACCACCGTGGCTTCTTCCCTATTTAAAGGTGAACTTCCTGCGCGAGGGATGCGGCCAGGACAAAATATGCCAGAGCAACCTGAAGCTGAGCTACCGCTTTGGAACGCGGCCTCTCACCTCTGACCTGTTCACCCCTCTGCCAAGGTTAGTGTGTCGGTACAAAACATGCATGCGTGAGAGTGGATAGTGTGAATGGTGCTGGCTGCTACCTAGCAACTGGTAGCCCAAATATGAATGGGCCCTGCCACTCCGC